GGGAAATGTCCTTCCCTGCTTCCACAGCAAAGAGAGCGGCTGGAGGAGGGAGCTGTTAGCAGTCGATGGCCTCCAGAAGTGTCCCTGGAGCAGCACCCAAAGGCTCTGCTGTTTGGGGTCCCCCCAATGTGGTGAGAGGAGCAGAAGCCAGCTCAGCCCCATCTTCTTTTTCATCTTTTGTCCTTTTGCAGAAAAATGGCTTTGAGCAATTCTGCATTAACTTTGTGAACGAGAAGCTGCAGCAGATCTTCATAGAGCTGACCCTGAAGGCAGAGCAGGTATGGGGGGGCTGGGCTGGGGGGCTGCAGGCTGCGCCAGCGCCCTGATTCCTGCACCCTGCACTCCCACTGCCGGCCTGTTCCAGCACCACGGCCAGAGCAGGGGGGCTGCAGCGTATCCCACGGGTTGGGGGGCCCACCCAGCTCTCCGTCCACTTCCCCAGGAGGAATACGTGCAGGAGGGGATCAAGTGGACCCAGATCCAGTACTTCAACAACAAGGTGGTGTGTGACCTGATAGAGAGCAAACTGGTGAGTGGGGTCTCCTCCTCCAGGGGAGGCTTCCTCGGGGAGCCTTTCCTGGGGAGCCAAGGCACCCAGGGAGGAGGGTGCCAGATGGGCTGGCTGCTGTCAAGGAAGGGTGGCAGAAGCCGGTCCTGTCGGGGAGCATCCTTGGGAGAGTTTGCAGCCTGTACCTAAGCTGCGTTTCAGCATGAAGCACCTTTGACCAGTACGAGGCACTTGAGCGCAGCCAGATGCAGGATTGGGCCCTGCCTGCAGCCTTTGGATACCCATGGCTTCACTCTCCCTCTCCCAGAACCCCCCCGGCATCATGAGCGTCCTGGACGACGTCTGTGCCACCATGCATGCCACTGGTGAGGGGGCTGACCAGACCTTGCTGCAGAAGCTGCAGGCGGCTGTGGGCACCCATGAGCACTTCAACAGCTGGAGCTCGGGCTTCATCATCCACCACTATGCAGGCAAGGTATGGTACCCCACACCCAGCACCCAGCACCCCATGGCCCTGGCCATGGTGGCAGAGAGCTGAGCTCCCCTCCTGTCCCCAGGTCTCCTATGATGTGAACGGCTTCTGCGAGCGCAACCGGGATGTGCTCTTCACCGACTTGATTGAGCTCATGCAGAGCAGTGAATAGTGAGTCGTGGCGGTGCTGCGGTCATGAGGGCCACCCCAAAAGGGCTGGGGCAGAGGGCAGCATCCCCAACACCCAGACCATAAAGTTTTGCTGGTCCTGCCTCCACCAGAGCCACAGCTCGGGGTGCTCAGCATCCTGCATCACCCCACAGGCACCAGTGGCATCCCCCCATCAAGTGCAGCAGCACCCAGGGACTGCAGGGCTGGGCGGAGGGGTGCTTACCCACCAGCACCAATCCTGCTCACCCTGGGGGCAGTTGGGGGGGACGGGCTGAGCCACGGTGCAGGATTTCCCAACAGCAGAAAGCAGAGCTGGAGCTGGTTCCAGCCCAGCGTGTGCTGAGCTTGGGGAGCCTGGCAGCTCTCACCCGGGGACTGTCACCTGCCTTTCAGCGGTTTCATCCAGATGCTTTTCCCAGAAAAGCTTGATTCTGACAAAAAGGGACGACCAACCACCGCGGGCTCCAAAATTAAGGTACATCCCAGAGGCTGCAGGACAGTAGCTGCCTCTGGGGCAGGAGCAGGGTGATGGGCTCCCACCACCTTAATGCTACAGAGGTCAATCCTTGCAACAGAAACAGGCTAACGACCTGGTGAACACGCTAATGAAGTGCACGCCACACTACATCCGCTGCATCAAGCCCAACGAGACCAAGAAACCCCGGGACTGGGAGGAAAGCAGGTAACAGACGCCCCTCACGATGTATCAGTGAGCCCACAGAGCCTGGGAAATGGGACCTGGCCATGGAGATGTGGCCAGGACCGACTTTCCTCCAAAGACTACACCCCGGGGCCGGTCCCTCTGTGCTGCCCACAGACCCAGGAGAGCACAAGGTGGGTGCTGAGGAGCGTGTGGGGACACAGACGCCTCTCTACATGTGTCACCCAGATGCTCCATCTGAGCCCCAAGAAACTCTCATGCATGCACAGCTGAGGGCATCCCCATGCAAAGCGGTGGCCAAGGGGTCTGGGCAGGACCCCCACCAACCTACCATCCCACGCCAAGCGTGTTCCTCCCGGCTCCGCAGGGTGAAGCACCAAGTTGAGTACCTGGGGCTGAAGGAGAACATCCGGGTGCGCCGGGCAGGTTTCGCCTACCGCCGCCTCTTCCACAAATTCCTGCAACGGTGAGCGACCACCGGGACAGGGGATGGTGGGTCCCCACAGCCTGGCTGCAACTCACGTCCCCTGTCCCAGCAGCTACGCCATCCTCACTCCCGAGACATGGCCGTCCTGGCGCGGGGATGAGCGGCAAGGGGTGCAGCACTTGCTGCGCTCCGTCAACATGGACCCGGACCAGTACCAGATGGGTCGGAGCAAGGTGTTTGTCAAGAACCCTGAATCGGTAGGTGGCCCGGCTCTGCGCCTGGCCCAACACTCAGTCGGGCATTCCTGGGGGACGCCGCAGGCAGCCAAGCATCACTTCAGGCAATGCTGGGGAGGGTTTGGGGTGCCAATGTGAGGGAGAAGCGATGCAGCACAGGGGATGGGGTGCCCCTGGCCAGCCAGGCTCATCACCCCATGTCCCCCCCAGCTCTTCCTCCTCGAAGAGATGCGGGAGCGGAAATTCGATGGCTTTGCCCGGGTGATCCAGAAGGCCTGGCGCCGGCACATCGCCATCCGGAAGTATGAGCAGATGCGAGAGGAGGGTAAGGCCGGGCGAGGACAGGGACGCTGGCACCCCAGCACCCCTTTTAGGGTGCCCTTCGCTGCTTCCTGCCAGAGCAGCAGGAGAGCGGCAGCCCAGCTCCTAATTGTGGCACTAACAAGGAGGGGGCTGAGGAGGGACCGGACCATGAGATGCCCGGGGTCTTTTCCTACATCTTAAAGAAGGGCACGGATTTCTTGCTCCTATATCCAGACCTGGGAGGGGCTGTAGGACAGAAACTGGAGCCTCTCGCTGTCTCACTCTGCATTTCATTGCCCACACCGAGATGGAGTAGCTGAGAGTCAGCATTTGCAGAGGGATGGGAAAGGCCAGTGGTCACCGCCTGACCCCATCACAGGTGTTTTCCCACCTTCCCAAGTGTGCAGTGAAAAATCAAGGGGGAAAACCCAGGAAGCAGAGGGACCTCCCCTCCCTCCCGCAGCACAAGTTTTTTTGAGGGCAATTAATGGGTTTTGAAGCCAGCCAAGCTCAAGAAACTCAGGTTCCTCCTTTGGTGTAAAATGAGACCCACTTCTTGCTGCCACAATCCATGCGATGGCTCCCACGGCTCCTGCAGCTGGTTTGGGAGAGCAGGCGGGCAGGGGCCGAGGGCTGAGGCACCGGTGCAGAGCCCTGTCCCACCGTCATCGCTCTGGGGTCCTGCGCAGCCTCCAACATCCTCTACAACTTCAAAGAGCGGAGGAGGAACAGCATTAACAGGAATTTCGTGGGGGATTACCTGGGCATGGAGGAGCGGCCGGAGCTGCGCCAGTTCCTGGGCAAGCGGGAACGGATAGACTTTGCCGACTCCATCACTAAGTACGACCGGAGGTTCAAGGTATGTGGAACCACTCGGGCCTTGGGACAGGCCAAGCCATGGCTTGTGGAAGATGGCCTTGGGTGGAATGTGTGCGGGGCTCATCCCCCCCCAAAAACACCCCCTCACCTCCTGCTCCTGCCCTTTCCCAGCCCATCAAGCGGGACTTCATCCTCACCCCCAAGTACTTCTACCTGATCGGGCGGGAGAAGGTGAAGAAAGGTCCTGAGAAGGGGCAGATCAAGGAGGTGCTCAAGAAGAAGGTGGAGCTGCAGGCGGTGATCAGAGTCTCGCTGAGGTGCGTCCCTTAGCCTGGGCTCCGCGGGGGGTGGTCCGTGCGGTCGGGCTTCACCCATCAGCTCCACCAGCCTCCCCGTGCTCCCGTGTCCACTGCCAGGCCCCCGGAGGCAGCAGGGCGTTGGGCTGGGGGGAGAAGGCTCCCCGCAGAGTGCTTTGCAGATGGGGCTTTGGAGGCCAGGGCGGTTTCCAGCTAAATCACCCTCCAAATTTGCTCGGGGTGGACCTAGACCCAGTGGTGTCTCCTGGCTCCCCCCCAGCACCAGCTGGCACCAGCCTTGCCCCTCCTGACTCCCCCGCACTGGGGTTGCTCCCCCAGCACCAGGCAGGATGATTTCTTCATCCTCCACGAGAACAATGCCGACAATTTCTTGGAGTCCATCTTCAAGACGGAGCTGATCAGCCTGCTGTGCAAACGTTATGAGGAGCTCACCCACACGAAGCTGTGCCTCTCCTTCAAGGACACGTAAGGAGGGAGGCCGGGAGAGGTGACAAAGCAGGTCAGAGTCCTACCCCCATGGCCTCACGGCCCCTCTCTCTCCCCCAGACTACAGTTTCAGGTGAAGAAGGAGGGTTGGGGCGGTGGTGGCACCCGCAACGTCACCTTCGTTAGAGGACAGGGCGACGTGGCTGCCCTCAAAGCCGGAGGCAAAACCCTTACA